AATGGAATATCCAAATTAGGGGAAAGCAATACAGGTCTAAATTCTTCAGCCTGGCATTGAAGGCCTTCTCCAATTTGAACTGAACTAAGTTTACTTTCACTTCTCTGGTGTACAAAGCCTCAGCTTAAACTGGTTTCCCCTAACACACACTAAACTCATTACTGTCTTTGCACTTTTGCTTAGGCAGGGCCTACTTGGATTTGCCCATTATACTCTGACTATTCCAACATGAACTGAACTTCTTTCCGTTGATCTTTCATGGTATTATGCCTACTCTGCTTTTTTGCTACCTAATCAGAGTTCTCTACATCATAGATGTACCCTATTTTGCTGAGAAAATAGATGCAATCAAAAGAAGACTTCTGGAACTCTCACAAATGCAACCACCCACCTATCTGTGTCTGTGCCTCTATGCTCTTTCCTCCTGTTCCTATGGATACTCTCTCCATTTGTGCAGTAGATTTCAATGGACTCTCTCACCCCACTCAAAGCTATTGCTCTACAGTTCTTCTCTCAGTAATTTTTCCATCTCAACTGGGTCCTTTCCTTTTTTTTAATCTTTTTTGATACAGTGTCTGCTCACTCTGTTTCCCAGGCTGGACTGCAGTGCCGTCATCATAGCTCACTGCAACCTCAAACTCCTGGGCTCAAGCGATCCTCTCGTCTCAGGTTACGGGTGTATGCCACCATGCTGGGTTAATATTTTTAAAAAATTTTTTGTAGAGATGAGGTCTTGCTATGTTGCTCAGTGATCTTCCTGGCCTTAGGTGATCCTCCCACTTTGGCCTCCCGAAGTGCTGGGATTATAGGTGTGAGCCACCACACCTGACCTTGTTTCTCTGCTTCCCCTTATAGTACAGCTCTTTAAGGAGTTCCCATCCTTGCCATCTTGAGTCTTTTTTCATTCTCTCTTGGATGAACTCCAGATAAGATTTTAACCCTATAGCTCCACTGAAATTGCCCATCAGGGTCTCCAATGACCTTTATTCTTCTGAATCCAATTCTCAATCCTTGGCATTGGAAACTCCTTTCTCCTTGAAATGCTTTTTTCACCTTGCTTCTGAGATATCATACTCTTGATTTTTCTCCTGCTGGCCATTCTTCATTTTCCTTTGCTAGTTTCACCTCTTTTTCATGACCTTTAAATATTGAGGTGTCCCAAGACTCAGTCCTTGCATCTCTTCTTTTTTTCTTAGCTTTACTTTGTAGAAGAGATAAACCAGTCTCGTGGCTTTAAATACCATCCACATGCTAAGACTTCTCAATTTTATATGTCCATATATTTTAACTGGATTTTTCAACTGAACTCCAGACTCATATTCAATCGCCAGCTTGATATCAATATTTGGATAAGAGGCTTCTCAAATTTAACATGTCCAAATCAGTTTCTGATCTTCCTCCCTAAACCTGCTGCTTCTCTGTTTCTCTGTCTTAGAAGTTTTTGTCATCCTCCTAGTTGTTCAGGTAAAAAAATTTGGATTCATCCTTGGCTACTATCTGTCTCACATTCCATTTCCAACTTATCAACAAACTTATTGGTGCCACTTCAAAACATACCCAGTTGGGTGCCCTGGCTCATGCCTATAATCCAACCACTTTGGGAGGCTAAGGTGGGAGGATTGCTTGAGCCAGGAGTTCAAGTTTGTGGTGAGCTATGATCGCACCGCTGCATTCCAGCCTGGGTAACAGAGCAAGACCCTGTCTCTGGAAAAAAAAAAGAGCTTGAGGTATGACAACTAAATTAAAAATGTAATCCCTGGTTGATATACACATGTGCGTGTGTGTGTGTGTGTGTGCTATAAAGGGTAATACTAGAACAACTGGGGAAACATAGATCTTCCTTGGACCTTCCTTGTCAAATAGGGTAGTCACTAGCCACACGTGGCTGGGTATTTGAAATGCAACTAGACTGAATTGAGATACGCTGTAAGTATAAAATACACACTGGATTTCAAAGACTTAGTAAGAAGAAAAGAGTGTAAAATATTAATGATTTTTATATTGATTACATTTTTAAATGATACTTGAGGTGCATTAGGTTAAATATATTATTAATTTCCCGTTTTTTCTAAACAAAAATTCTTTGTATAGATGGGGTCTCACTATGTTGCCCAGGCTGGTCTGGAACTCCTCACCTCAAGTGATCCTCCTGCCTCAGCCTCCCAAAGTGCTGTCTGGGATCACAGACGTAAGCCACCACATGGCCTTTACTTTTTTTTGAAACAGAGTTTTGCTCTGTGCCTGGGCTAGAGTACACTGGCATCATCAGGTCACTGCAACCTCAAACTCCTGGGCCAGAGTGATCCTCCTGCCTCAGCCTCCCAAGTACCATGCCTGGCTAATTTTCTTTTTTCGCCTTTTTTTTGTAGAGACAGGGATCTCACTATGTTGCTCAGGCTGGTCTCAAACTCCTGGCCTCAAGCGATCCTCTCACCTCCCAAAGTGCTGGGATCACAGGTGTGAGCCACTGCCCATGGCCTACTTTTTTTTAAAATGTGGGTACTAGAAAATCCAAAACACCAAGCATGGCTCTTTTTCAAGGCCTTTGTACATCCTGCCTGCATTGTTCTTGCCAGATAATCCACGTGGCTCATCCCATTAGTTCCTTAGGTCATTCCTCAAATGTAATTTTCTGTGAGGGCTTCCCTGACCACTGTCTTTAACCTTGTGGTCTTTGTCCCCCACATTACCTCTGCCCACCCAACCTCGTGTGTACATTACTCCCCTCTTCTGCATTGTCTTTCCCCGGGCAGACAAGGGCAGCGAATTTTATGTCTTTTGTTTTTTCTTCACTGCTGTATCTCCAGTGCCAAGAACAGTCCCTGGCACACACCTTATTCACAGTAAGTATGCAACAAATACTTGTTGAATAAATGAAAAGTCAGAGATCGAATTTTTAGCCAAATATATTCCCTGCACAAGGTGTACTTAGAACTTTTTCAAAATCAAAAAATAATATTTAACAAAGTAGTACTGTCTCCAGGAAAATGTCAGGGATAAAAGGTTTTCTTTTTTTTTCTATTTGAGTAATTTGTTTTTCTGATATAGTGAGAAGTGCTGATGTTTTCCATTAAATTTAGGTTTACAAGTTTACTTTATAATTTTGTAAAGTAACTAAGGCAATTCAATTAAACAGTATAGCCAAAAGGCTTATAGGGGAAAATGTTTTTACTGCTGACTCAGTAAATGCAATCACTGATATTTAATGAATCCCTTGGTAAACACTTTTATGAGTTGAAAGGTAGGGGGTGCTCCTTTGTGATGATGGGGATCAGGGTTTGGGCTGAACACGTACAAATAAATGAGGGCTCTTCTTGTCCTCAAGGGGCTCACAGAGTCTGCTCATAGATGCCACAACAGTGAAACACAGCTCTCTTCTGCCCAGTTTTACAACAAATCTGAGAAGAATTTATTATCCCTATTTATAGATAAAGGAATTTCAAAATAAAAATTTCAAGTTGAGCATGGGGTGTAGGGTGTTGTGTAAATACCACTCAAGAAAGGCATGTGAAAAAAATACATCAGGCTCTGTACATGAGACTAGTAATTCAAAAATAATTTTTATTTTAACTTACATGACTGAAAGTGATGAGTACAAATGCCACAAAACTAAAAGCACCCCCTCAAACATGAAATACAGAGTGAATAGAAAAGATATGGAATTAATTATTCATGCAATATTCAAAAAATAAAAACCAAACAAAAAATCCTGTAACATCTGTGATTTGACTTTCTATAAAGAGAACCATTTCAACCATTTAACATAGACTACCGACTATACATACTACCTATAGACTGTACAATGTACCTTTAAAATGAAGGATATATGCATATATATAATATTTATAAATGTACAAATATGTACATTGTAACTTCACAGTTGAAAGAACTGTTTGCCAGAAGCCTGGCAAACAATTTTCACTTTAAAATTAAATGAGTCCTTTTAAAAGTCTTGCTAGAATGTAAATATTTAAAATGACATCTAAATGATATTTTATACAAACATGTCCACAGTACAGTTGATATTTCACAGTTTAAATTATACTCACACATATTGTTTTGATACCTTGGCATATTCCACCTTGTATATTCTTTAGAGGAAGAAAAGTTATTTAATAAGAGCTACTGAATGGTTTTGTACTTTGTTTAATGAACTTGCTACTCTGATGCTGAAGCAATGATGAAAGCTGTTGTTTAACTGTTTGGCCAGGAAATCCTACCTGGTGGTGAAGATTTATCTGTGGCGGTAACTATCCCTCAGGGCACCCTTCTTCCCAATCTTGTGGTCACTTTTACAGAAGCAGAGACTACTCCTACCCCAGTAGTATTCCTCCAACTTTCAGGTTCTTCTATCTCAAAGAGAATCAATCACAGCTTTGTGTATCTACAACTTTTGGTTTTGGTTTGTCTTAGCAGCAAAATACCTCTGTGGTAAGAGTATCATAAAAAATGGCTCTCATTCACTTGGAAAAAAAAAAAAAGCTTAAGCTTTGAGTTTTTTGTTTAAGAGTACGGGTATAATCTCAATAAGGTAGTTCTTAGTCACCTACCTATCTTTTTACCATAATAGAAACATGATTTTAGAATTTTCAGGAGGGAGGAAAAAAACAAAAGAAATAATGAGAGGTTAAAAAATAAAATAAAAAAATTAAATTCTTACAATGGGTCATTTTGCCAGGTTCCACAGGCAAACTTTTATTTGAAGAAATTATTTTTTGTGTTTTGTATTGAAAGTAAAAATTAGTAGCTAAGGGGGCCACTCAACCCTGAGAACACGACATAGGAAAAATTGCAAGGCATATGATATTTATCGAAGTTATCACATGACTATTTCAAGCTTTTAGAAGAACTTCCAAAAAAGTACAAAGATGGCTATTTTAAAGTTTCATACATATTAAGATAAGATAGACTCTTTTACCGAGTATTGTCAGATACAATCGATGATGTAATCTACTGAATTATACATAGCCCTATTCCATTGGCCAAAGGAAAAGTCGGTACTGTGAATCCAGAATTTGAATTCTTCCTGTAACATGTTAAATTTCTAGAACTCTTAAAATTTTCAGAACACTTCAAGTTCTAGACACTTTCCAGCTAAATCACAGCACCATCTGGATGAAAAGGGCCAGATATTAAGACAGTTGTTAGGCAGAGTTAACTTGTAATTAAAAGGCTGTGGCAACTTCAGTTCCATGACGACCTCCAACTTTAACACAGTCCCGAGGAAATTTGTCCAACTGTTCATATGCCAGCCGCCCATCTTCTCCTGGATATGGAACATGAAACATGAATACCAATTCGACTCAACATAAATTAATATCAATTGTTTCAGTATGGATTGCTGTAATTGCTATGTTAACTTTAGGTAAGGAAAATTCCTCTTCTGTTTATTCTTTATTATGTTATTGTTTTCTAGGTAATGTTTAGAACAACCAAGAACTGTTGAGCTAATTCCAGAGACCAAAAGAATGCTAGGATATGGAACAGAGTAGAAGTCTTATGGCTATTGATGTTGATAATTTCACATAATAGATTTCTTTCTGAGCAATCACATGGATTATATATTAAATGCATTAGGGATTTAAACGTGGCTGATCCTTGACTTCAGTGCATTGAACTTTTACAGAACTTTGACTTGTGTATATTATATATTGATACATCTAAATGATCACTGGCAAAAGTCAAATGTAGCCTTTCAAACTTCAGTTAAAAAAATTACTCTTTGCCATGTAAACACGTGGTGATACCTTCTATTAGCCACCAACTAGTTCGGTTTTGTCCATAGCACCATCTTGAACAGCTAACATGTATTTGCAAATAATTTTAATATTTTGTTCTATTTTTTCTATTTAAAAAAATGATTAGAAAGTGGGAAAATGCAGTGCAGAGACAAGTGATAAGAAGCAGGCTTTCATCCACTTAATACAAGTGAGACAAAGAAATAATTAGTTGTGCTCAATCAAAAGTTCACTGTAAAGGAAAACAAGAGCAAAAAAAGATTCATGAAATGCTGGAAACATATAGGTATGAGTGGGTTTTAGAAAAGGAGTGTAATTATGGGTTTTATAAGATATTGTAGTCTCCAGAAACAGAAACCTTCCAATAAACCAGAATTCTGATGAAATTTTTTTTTTTTTGCACATTTAACTTTTTCAGGAATATATTAGATATAAAACCAGAGATTTGCCCGTATTTAAAAGAATGTTGCTGGAAACTTTTTTGTAAGCAAAAGCCGGCCAATTTTAAGAGATTTTTGTTAATCATCTCTGCATGCCTTGACTGTCCAGAGGCAAATGCTATAATATATTTTTCCTAGTATGATAGTTTTCAACTTTTTATTACTTTAGGGTAGAACCCTTATTTAAAACAAAATGTTTTCACAAAACCCTAATATATAAACCAGATTAAACACAGGACCTTTCCAGTTGATGGCAGCAGGAGATAGGGAGACAGAGGGCCTGAGCTAGGCCGTTCACATGCCCTCATGCCCACTCACACACAGCGCTGTGGATGTCTCAGCTAGCAAATGCTATTTGAAGAACCATTGATATCCACCAGTTCTTACTTTGTTCATGAATAGATTCCAGTTTTGAGGTCTTAAGTTCTTCCCACAGAGTCCCACAGAGTAGAATGGCATAGAGTGTCAGGTTTCCATCTCGGAGCCTGGCTAAGTTTGGATGTCCACAGGTAAGTTTTACAACCTCAGCATGCCTTAGTGTGCCCTTCTGTAAAATGGGACTAATTGTGCTTCCTCCTTCCTAGGGTTCTTGGGAGGGCCAAATGAGCTAACCTATGCTGATCCCTCAAAACAGTGCCTGGCACAGAGGAAGTCCTCTACAGGTATTACCCAATATTATTAGTGATACAACTAGAGTAGGCTCTCAGGGTGCTTCATTCTTATTAACATTTAGTTTTCAGTGGGCTTTGATCTGTGTCTGCTAGTCCTTTAAAAGCCTTGTTAAGTAGGCAGGGTGTAAAAGGAGAAAGAGCCTGATATTTGGGGAGTCAGGTAGTGTGGTTCCAAGTAGGGCTGAGGTCTAGCCAGGACACACTGGAATGGCCATAGCCATTATGAAAACTGCTCTGTCTAATATAGTGGCCACCAGCCACATGTGACTATTTAAATTTAAATGGCAATTATAGATAGTCCCAGACTTACGATTATAGACTGTCCCTGACATACATTTTTCAACTTTATGATGATGTGAAAGTCATACGAATTTAATAGAAATTGTGCTTTGAGTACCCACACAACCATTTCATTTTTTACTTTCAGTACAGTATTCAGTAAATTACATGAGATAATCAACACTTTATTATAAAATAGGGCTTAGTGTTACGTGATGTTGTCCAACTGTAGGCTAATGTAAGCGTTCTGAGCATGTTTAAGGTAGGCTAGGCTAAGCTATGATGTTTGGTGGGTTAGGTGTATTAAACGCGTTTTTGACCTAGTGATATTTTCAATTTACAACGGGTATATTGGGACATAACCTCTTCATAAGTCGAGGAGCATCTGTACTCAAAATTTATTATAGTTGAAACTTTAGTTCCTCAGTCACAGTAGCCAAGCTGAACAACTCAATAGCCACATATAATTACTGGCTGCTGTATTGGCAGTGCACATATAGAACATTCCCATAATCACAGAGGGATCTATGGGACAGCTCTAGATTAAAATATTGCAATAATTCCACGCTGGTTGGTAAAGAGTTGTGGCTCTGAGTTTTTTGAGAGCCTGTGATGACTTTCTGCCCTTCATCATAGTGTCTTGAAATTCCCATTGAAAATAATATTTTCACTGTATTAATTCAGTCATCTATATGAGAGAAAAATGCACGAATATTTGTGCACTAGAATTAAAGAAGATTCATGATGTCGAGTTGCCTTGGAAGGCTTTAAAAAGTCCAATGCCGAGGCACACTTCAGACCAATGAAAGCAGAATCTCTGGGAGTGGAACCAGGCATGGGTATGTTTGTAAGCTTCCCTGGTGATTCCGATGTGCAGCCAATGTTGAGAGCCACGCACTGGTGGTGGGAGGGGGCTCGGGGCTGGTGTGAGCAGCGTGTGTAGGAGCTAAGTGAGGCAGGTGTGATGACTGTTTCTGGAGATGCTGCTGTTTGCTCAGCTCAAGTGAATCCTGGGGCACATGCCATGGGGATCAACTTCCTTAGGTTACACTGGAAATAGAAGCTTCATTGGCTATGCTTTGCAAATGTCTGGCTTGCCTTTATTGTTATTTTGGAATACTAAGGGATAAAGGAGTCTTTTTCCCCACTTCCCCCACCTCCCAATGGAGTTTAAACTAATAATACCCTGGGTATATTTTTAGAGAATTAAATAATTTCTATGCCTTAACACAGCCATAAGGAATAACTGTTTTATCCTTTAAACAAACATATGCTGGCTGAGATTTCTGTGCAGTGAATGATATCTTTAATAGCAGAACAAAGCCTCATTAAACCTATAACTGTAAGAAAGAAGGCCTAACAACGAATGGGATTTTCATGGTGATTATAAATGCCATGAGATTCTCCCTTACATTATTAAGCTACAATAGTCAAACTAGGGTGGCTTTTTTCCAAGTAGTATTATAGACTGGATTATACTTGAGGACTTTCAAGAGTATAGTTTTTACACTTTAAGAATGTGTTGTTGTAGTAAAATTATTTATAACAACTATTTATATTTATTTTTGTTTTAAATTTTAGAGATGGGTCTTGCTCTATTGCCCAGGCTGGAGTGCAGTGGTGCAATCATAGCTTATTGCAACATTGAAATCCTGGGCTCAAGGGATCCTTGAGTCCTCCTGAGTAGCTAGGACTACAGGCACAAACCATCATGTCTGGCTAATTCTTATGTTTTGTAGAGACAGAGTCTCTTATGTTGCCCAGGATGGTCTCAAACTCCTGGCCTCAAATGATCCTCCTGCCTTGGCCTCCCAAAGTGCTGGGATGATAGGTGTGAGCCACTATACCCAGCCTTATTTATACTTTTTATGCAGAGTTAAGAAAGGCTTTCCTTCCCTTCCCAGGTCCCAAAAAAGAATAAACATATGAAACCTAATAGGCATGAACCTTTATAAAGTAAAGTGAAAAGGAAGGGTTATCTGCACATTCTAGAATGCAATAAATACTTCAATTATTTTCTTTGGTGTCAGGGCTCAGAGGGGCAGAGGCCAGCAGGGCAATCAGAGGTTAACCTTGGAGTTGGGCTGAGGCTGGGGTATTTGGGGGCTTACAGCATTCCTTGGAGATGCAGCCCTGGTGCCTCAACCAATCACTGTCCACCAGGAGTGCCTGCCCCACCCTGACAGCCCACCCTCGATTCCTGCTGCCTCTGTATTGACTTCTGTGTTCTTGATTCCAAATAGTGCACAGATGGACTAACCCATATAGAAAGGCTCCAGAGAATCAACTTCACTCTCAGTATCCAGACAGAACAAGGAGTTGTGGTGAGAGGGACATTGATCAGTTCCTTACGCTCTGTGTGCATGTGAGTACACAGCCTATGGGGGGGAAATTGCTAAAACAGGGCACATGAAACTTTTCCTTACTGCTCTTTTTGAGAATATCAGAAGCAAACAATAATGTAAAATAAACAAAAACTCACCAAGAGACAAGAGGGTTTCTGAGGCCACAGTTCGGATTTCTTCAGTATCAGACTGACACAGTGTCACCAGCATTTTGATGCTTTCAGTAGCCTATGGGGGGAAAAATAGTTTCAATAGTGTTCTGACATTTAAGTCTGGAGTTCCATGAGAGTTGGCATTTCATAGTTGGTAGGGACGGTAAAACCATCTCACCTAGGTGTTCTCAAACCTAGCTGAGAGTTGGGATCATTTAGGGGGTTTCCTCTAAAGTGCAGACCCCTGGGTGCCACTCCAGATGCACCACATTGGGATTTCCTGGGGTGGAGCCCAGAATTCATACTTGCAGGAGCTCTGATGATCAGCTAAATTCCTCCTCTCACAGGGGACTCCAGGCTATATGACTAGCCTGCTTTTCCAGAACAGAACCCCTTTCCCTAGTTTCTTCTACCATATTATGCTGATTCCAAAAATAGCTCTAATTTAGGAATTCTTAATATTTGGCTTATGTACTAAGATAGAGGAAGAGAATAAAGGTCAATGATGGGAATTCTTCTATTTCTTTATTCTAAAAACATTTATTGAACACCCTATGAACCAGGCAGTTCATAGGCATGAGAACTTCTGCAATGAACCAGTTGTGGTCCTAGCCCTCAAGAGTTTAGTCTAGTGGGATGACAGGCTGATAAACAAATAAAGTAATTCTGATGAGGAGCGATGGGCTGAGTCAGGGTGCTAGGGCTGAACATGACTGGGAAACAGAGCCTGTCTGGTCAGGGAAGTCCTCATGGAGGGAGTGATGTTGTAGAGGAGTTAGCGACTTTTGGGCACATGGTAGGTACATGTGTGTGTATGGGGTGGGGGGATAGGGGAGTGTTTGGGAGTGTGGAGAAGGAAATAAATTCTAGGCAAGGGAAATAACTTGTAGCAAGGACCAGAGTCCAGAGGTGGCAGAGATGTGTTTGGAGAAGGTGGCAGGGACCAAATCAAGGAGAGCCTTGCAAGCCACATGAAGGGTTTTGAATGTAATTCTAAGTCCAGGTCTTAATTCATGTTTCCTTCTTAATTCTATGATCATGAAAGAGTTTTAAGCAGGATTTGTATTTTATTATGAGCATTCTGATTACGGTGGAGAGGAGGAGAGTTTAGACGGTAAGGAGGCAGGGAGGTAGGAAGGTGGTTCTAATCCAGGTAGAAGATGCAGACCTCTGAATAGAGTGGGGACAGAGAAGAGCAGGCAGATTGGAAGTGGGATCTGCAGGACTGACCAGATGTGGAAGATGAGGTGAGGGAGGGGTCACTGATGACTTCCAGGTTTCTGGCATGAGCTACTAGGAGTGTGGTACAAAACACTAGAGGTGGCGGGTAGGGTAGACGAGATTTGAAGTAACTTCCTAGTCAAGACATCTAACAGCAAGCTGGATAATCAATGGGAAGGTGAAACCTGGACTGGAAATATTGGGAGTTGCTAGTGTGTAGAGGATGATGGAATCCATAGGAGAGCTTTGTACCGAGGGAGAACATGTCGAGGGAGAAGAGGGCTGAGCATACAGCCTTAAACACCAATATTTAGGGCAGGTAGAAGAAAAGGAGCTTGCCTTCCACAAGACAAAAATGCTCCTGCTGAGATTCCTGAGGAGGAGAGAATGGCTAACAAATTATGTTGTTTTTTTCTCAGAGGAAAGCTGGGTTTACAAAGCGATAGTGGTGATGCCGGGTGCCAGAATGTGGCAAACCGGAGTGAGCAGCCTGGGAGGAGCATGGGTTATTCCAGCCCACTGAGACAGATGGGCACCCAAAATTGGAAGACCACTTGAGGACCTTGATCTCTTAAGGTTTTCTCCAAGTTGATAATAGAAAAAAAATGTGGGATGTCTGCTAGCTATCATTAATAATTATGCCCCTACAACGGTTTGGGTGATTGAAATTGTGAGTCTGCGCTGTTTTTCACATCATGATGCGTGGAGCCTTTTTCAGGAGATAGAGAAACCAGAGATGGTTTAGAAAGAGGTATTTTATTTTTATTTTTTATTTTTTGAGATAGGGTCTCGCTCTGTCACCCAGGCTAGAGTGCAGTGGCGTCATCCTAGCTCACAGCAACCTCAAGCTCCTGGGCCCAAGTGATCCTCCTGCCTCAGTCTCCAGAGTAGCTGGGACTATAGGTACACACCACCAGGCTTGGCTAATTTTTAAAAATTTTTTGTAGAGATAGAATATCACTATGTTGCTCAGGCTGGTCTGGAACTCCTGGCCTCAAGTGATCCTCCTGCTTTGGCCTCCCAAAGTGCTGGGATTACAGGCATGAGCCAACGTGCCCAGCCAGAAAGAGATCTTTTAGCTGGCACTAAGGATGCTATCTTCTAGAAGGAAAGGAAAAAGGTAAGGAATCTAGTGCTCCCAGACTTGGAATGTGCCAGAGTTTAAAATTGTAGCCTCTACTTCAAACTTCACAGCATGTAAATCCATGAAAACCCATACAGATCACTGTATCCTCATGTCTTTGTTTACATTAAGTCTGTATCACTGACATCCATCACTGATATGTCACAAGGTATCAGGAGAGCACCCAAATAAATAGCAATCACGGTGGGCTTTTGTTGTTTTTTTTTTTTTTTTTGGCAACCCGAAGGTAATTTTTTGACCAAGTAACATGGAAGGCAAAATTTCCCAGAGCTGTTTTTGGCCACATGTCATTAACTTTTTCTTTTGAGGGTGTTAATCCTTTTCTTCATGTCCCATCAGGCCTGCAGGTCCCTGCCCCTTGTTCCAGGAGCCCATCCAAGATTTTGCCAGGTACTAAGGTGTGGCCTTCTGATTATTTTCTCAAAACTGATTAGTCTTATTGGTGGTGATGAAGGCAGGTCAAACATTAAATCTCGCCCATTGAAGGGGAAACTCTTCCATATTGGGAATTCTCAGCCTTTCTTGACTGTTTACATTCTAGCTCCCTCCCGGCTCACTGGCACCTCCCTCTGATACGATCAAGATTGGTTTGCTACTTAATAGAGAGAGTCGGTGAGGAAGGACGGGCGAATTGGATGGCACGCTGAATTTCAGCACTTCTTTGCAAATCTTATTTGTCCCTGCTGTCTGTTGTACGCTATAAAAATTGGTGAAATCCGCATATGATCTCTCTTTTGGGATAAGATATACTTTTCTCATACTGTCCTAAAGGCAAACTGATTCCCTCAGGCTATTGTAAAACATGATTGTTTTCTGCCATTGACTGACTTTAACAAAAGAGTCACATGTAGTTACTGTTTAAGAGAAGATAGGACCCCAAAACTAATACACAGCACAAAGGAGATGAGAAATACCACTAAGGCAGGTACTTTCTCATGCGAAATAAAAGTTGGTATCTATACTTGGCTTAGCCTGGCCCAAAGCTGAACTGCCAGGGGGTTCTGAGCCTGGGCTTTACCTGGAGGGTTTTCAGGGCCAGGCAAGCCGCCTTCTGCAGCTGGAGGTTTGTCTTTGTTAGTGCTTCACAGTAATAGAGCAAGGCCTGAAAGAGAAGGAGGGACACTGTGAAGGCATTTTGATTTGTTCATAGTTTGAGAGGCATATTATCGTTTTTATACCCTGAGATAAACTATAGCATGTAACCAGGCATTTTATACTACTTTCAGAGCAAAATAAAATTTTATTAAAATTCATGTTGATGAAAAGAGCTGTTTATTCAATAAATTGATTCCTT